GTGGTGGGTTAGAGCTTGAATGGAGATTATGTTAATTACATTAGCGTATGTCTAGAAGTATGGTAGTACCATTAACTAATAGATGTTAACCGATCAATTTGGAAGTAAATAAAAGAAAACTACTAAGAGCGATTTAAATCATAAGGCACTATTTGTCACCAGAAAAAGAAATCAGGATACTGGTACTTAATGTTCTCAAAGTGGTTCACTGGCTAAGGGGCTCAATGATATTAAAGACCAGGTTCTCTTGGCATATTCCTCATGACTATAAAATGGCTGCAGTTCCAGGAAGCAAATAAGTATTCAAGGTAATAAGAAGAAGAGGAATGGTGCCTGATGCATCTGTTATATGTCTGGAAAACAAGAACTTTTTCAAAGACACTGCAACTTCTTCTCCCACCTCTGCTGTAGAATTCCTCTTATGGCTCATTGGCAAAAAGAAAGGCTGAGAAAGTGTTTAACTTCTCCAGCTTCTACAGTAAAGGCAAACAGCATATAATGGGGAATAAATGATAAGTTATATAGTCCATACTATTTGACTCAGGTCCTGACTTCTTCCCAAAGAAAAGAGAAGGTTTCAGGAGTAAACTTAGGGGTTTGGTTTCAAAATTGCTGAGTTTAAAGAAACATTAAGATAACCAGTGGAAGGGCAGACAAGGCAGTCATTAGGACATAAATGATAAGTGATATTGTAGAAATGAATGAAACTGGAAGAGACAAGCTTACAATAAAACAAACACCAAATTCTGGCAAGAATGTGGAGCATTCATTACTGGTGGGAGTGAAAAGTGGTACGGACACTTTGTAAGACAGTTTGGCAATTTCTTATAAAACTATACATATTCTTTACATACAATCCAGCAATTGCAGTCCTCGGTATTTACCTGAATGAGCCGAAATGAGCTGAAAACCTCATGTCCACAGAAGAACCTGCATATGGATATTTTATAGCAGCTTTATTCATAATTGCCAAAATCTGGAAACAACCAAGATGTCACTCTGTAGGTAAGTGGATAAACTGTGGTACATCCTAAGAATGGAATACTACTCAGTACTACATAGAAATGACCTAAGAAGCCATTAAAAGATATGGAGCTACTTTAAATGCATATTCCTAAGTGAAAGAAGCCAATCTGAAAAGGCTACATATACATACTGCATAATTCCAGCTATGTGACATTTTGGAAAAGGCAAACCTATGGAGACAGTAAAAAGATTAATGGTTGGCAGGTGTTGGGGGTAGAAAGGAATAAACAGAGCACAAAGAATTTTTGGAGTGAAACTCTTATATGATACAACAACGAGAGACATATGTCATTTACATTTGTCAAAACCCCTAGACTGTACAGCACTAAGAGTGAACCCTAATGTAAACTATGGACTTTGGGTCACGTTAATGTAGGTCCATGGATTGTAACAAATGTACCATTCTCTGGCTGAATGCTGGGGACAAGGGTAAGGGGGTATGTGGGAGCTCTGTACTTTGTGCTTAATTTTGCCAAGAACCTAAACCTTTTCTAAAAAAATTTAAAAAAAGAATTTTTTAAGAAAGAAAAATAAAGGACTAATTGCATAACCCAGGGGGACTTAGAAATAGACAGAAATAGATGCACCAGCTAACAAATAGCAATCAAAGTAAAGGAAAATGTTGAGGCTATATCAACAGAGAATGACAGGAAAGTATTTCAAGAAGGCAGGGCCAAAAAGATGGAAATGTGTTCCAGTTAGGTTAACGGGGATATTGCATAGGATAAGGAATGGTAAGTTTCACAAGTTTAGTCATCAGAGGTCATTTATAATCTCAGAAAGAATGACTTTCTTTCAGTGGAATTACAGTGGAGAAGTTCAATTACAAGAAGTTAAAGATATGTGACAAGGAAGGTAAATAAATAAAACAAAAGACAAAAGGAAGGCATATATATATTATTTCTTATTAAGTTTGACATCTTTATATTCATTCGATAAATCTAAATTTATTTTTAAAAACATTAAATGTCTAAAATTTTGTTTTTCAAGAAACCAATTTCTTAACGTAAGTGAATAAAATTTATTTTAAAGAAAAAAATAAGCTTTTTAATAAAATATTTATTTATTTAGTTTAATTAGTTTCAAGTATACAGTACATTGGTTAGACATGTATATAGTTCATAAAACAAACCCCCTCTCAATTGCGCCCTCCCTCCCCTGGCCCTCCACCTAGCCAACATATTAATGCTAACTACATTTTTTTAAAAAGTAACTCAGACTAGTATCAGTATAAACTTGGCCTCTCATCTTGTATGTATCATTGTCTCATCTTGTATGTACCATTGTATGTACCATTTAATTTGTTATTAGGGAAAATGCAAATATTATAAAAGTAGAAATATAATGTCATGCTAGCAAATTTAGCCAGTATAACTCCATGCTATTTCAAAAATAATGTCTAAATGATCACCAAAAATCTAATTTTATGCTCTACCATAAAAAATTTAGAAAAAAATTTTTGATTATTAGAATAAACAGACACTATTATTCAAATAGCACAAGATTATTAAAAAGTATTTCCTTGTATGATAATTGTGTATTTTCCATAATCATCAATTGGAAAATTCTATGTAATGTATGACCGTTAACTAATTTTTTCCTTAAACATAACGTTAGGATTGTTTCCTTTAGGAATTTCAGTATAACACAATTAAATAAAACATGAAATTTTAGTTCTCACCCTATTCAAGTTTACCTTTATTAGTGATAATAATAATAGTACTATTTATGAAAAAATACTAGAAATATTTTTGGTAGACCAAAAGCTCCTAGAGAATATGACTCTTTTTAAAAAGTCTTCCTAAATCTTATTTAGATACTAACTAAATATTAAATCATTAAACAAAAGAAAGGATAATTGTAAGTGGATTGTAGAAGATATGTACTACTGCACAGAAAGGAGATGAACAGTTAATTCATCAATCAAAGAGCTTGGTAATAACCATATTATTCATAACTTATATGGCAACTTGAAGATACAGAGTGCAATAATAAAAGCACTAAATAAAGAACAAAATCTCTGAAAGATAAGAAAATTTTTTTTTAATATTTCAGAATAAAGCTGATGTATTATAAATGAGCTAATTTTTATAATAATTTTAATGTTTCACAGGAAATATGGCAAAAAATAACTAAAAAATGATTTATAGCCAGTGTTATGACATTTTAAGAAGAGCTAAAATGAACACAGGCTTTAAAAAGATTAAATTGATGAGAGTTTTACAAAATTATTTACTCCTCCTATCCTTACTGTCCAAAAAATTTAAGTTGCCTTAGTTAACAGACGAAGTTATGAAGGTTTAAAATCTGAGACTTTCGCAGAAAAGTATATCAAAGTATATTTGTCAGGAGTAAAAATGTATTTTGTTTTATATCACTTTAAACTATATAGTCTACAGTTTATAGAGATTTCTATTTTATGGGGTTTGGGTTTTGTTTTGTTTTGAAATTCAAGATTTCTTTTGGTCTACACTTCACCTTCTAATTTTAATTGCCTCTTAGAAATGTGTATCTATTTATAACCATAAAGAGCAGCTGCCATTTAATTCAATTTAAAATAAATATACAACCAAAAATGCCAGAATAAAGACTATGCAGTATTATGTATTTAACAAATTAGAATTTTTATTTTAGGTTCTGTTTTAAATAGAAATAGCCATCACATAGAGCTATGAAATCTGTCCCCTAAAGCTAATAATAAATTAACACACAATAATGTAAGCTGCCATTAAAACAAAGTTACTTTTGACTTGCAAGTATTAAGAAATATTATACTTAATTTTACTCATACAAGAGTAAACTTCTTGGGGGTAATTAATTAATAATCACAGCAATCTGCAAGTCTTTTCTTTCCCATTTATTGCTCTATTTATAAATTTGAGAGAAAAAGACAAAGTACCTTAAACAATAATGATAAAAGTTATTTTAAGCCCCACCACTGAGAATTTCAAAATGAAGCTAAATATATTTTGTAGAAAAATCTGATTTCTACTAAATCTCACACTTTTTGGATAGATTAAAAATATTTTCCACATCAAAATGCCAATATTTTCTCAATTTTAGTAAGTGCTGAGTTACACTGCTAATACTATAATATTCTGCAATCAGCAGCAAAAAACAAATTTAAGACAATAAAGTACTATACAATCCTCTAGGTAATATATCTTTCGTTTTACTGTACAATATCAGCAATGATAAATTTTTTGTTTCCCATGGACATATTTTTGTTTTTTATTTTTAATCTGTTAATGAGAACGGAAACACCTTGAGGGCAAGGACCACTACTATGTCAAGGGCATTATGCTGGGGCAAAGACAAAAAAGAAGAATGGAAAGTCATAAGTATCTTAAATATATATATATATAATTATTAGAATCGAAATAATGTCCTTTTTCATGATTATTGGATCTATATCACAATGAAACAGAACTTATTGTCATGAAATGTACACTTCGCTTGTTTCAAATTCTAGTAGAACGTAATTTTTCTTTCTTTTTTGGTAATAAGTAACATTTTAAGTACTATTTCAATTCCCAAATATATTCACATACCCTTCAAGGAGTGTTGATTCTTTGGGTTACTAATAATACAAGTCATTTAAAAAAATTAGCATAATAAATACTGATGGGAAGAAAGGCGCATGATTTTTCTTTTTCTTTTAGCGTGGCTACTTTTTATTAACTACAAAAGGTAACAACATATAAAAATCAGAAACACAATGAATCAAAAATGTACCAATAGTTAATAATAGACCAGCACTCAAAATTCAGAAAATATGTTGTTTTCATGTACACATACATGAGAAAAATAATGCCATAGCAGAAGGGTGCTGTATCTGTGTTTAAAGAAGGGGTTGTTGGCAAACACCACAGCTCACTTCTGCTGAAATGTACACAACTGATATATGCAGCACAGAAAGCTGGCACCAAGGGCTTATAACCTTAATTTGCCTGCAAGAAGGAACAGAGATTTACCTTCAGAGCACGTTCTTGATTGTTTTCAGCAGTCAGATGTCTCATGTTGTTTGCTGAAGTCTGGTTCTGCTCTTTCAAATGATGAAGCTCCTGCTCTAGCCGTTTGCACTGCCACAGGGGAAGAATCCCATTAAGTAAAGGAGTTATAGCATTTTTTTTCACCAAGCCACAAGAATTAACGTAAATAATACTACTGTATTCTCTAAAAACGAGGTATCTTTTGCAACAAAAATACTAAGTTAAAAGTAATGTTGAATATGAACAAAATAATATGTTTATAGTACCCTGGCTATTCAATTGCAATTTTCAGTTTGTATTTTATTAATCTAAATATTACCATATAAATTAGGAAATGCTATTTTTTTAAATAAAATTAAGATCAAACTACATTTAAAATTATTTTCGTCATTAACCAAATGGTTTTCATTATACACTTGTTGGCTGAATATAAGTATGCTTCTAAAAATCACATTGGATTCTAAATAAACTACCATATGATATTGTTTTAAATTTTTATTAACTTTTTAAAGATTAAAAATTACCATAAAAATATATATCGAGACTTTTCAGATTTTTAAAAATATCTAAAGAAACAACTGT